AAAGGAACCCCCACATCATCAGCGGAATAGGCTACAGCAGGAGTGAAAGCATCAGAGCCTGCTCGAATCGATGAATATGATTCTCAATTGCATTCCCAGGCGAGTATCGATGACGCCATGCAGAATCGAAAACTTTGCAAACTTCGCAAGCGACCTATTGATTGTTTTTCACGCATTATCACGTCGACGATACCCGATTGGTCACCTTGATTGGCCGCTGATTCATTAACGAGAGCAGCTTTTCTATCTTTGTCAAATACAATTCCAAGGCGGACGAAGACCGTTGAGCCAGTCACAGAAGAAGCAGAGGGGATGCCCTCTCCGCCCCCCCCTTTCTAGATCAACAAGGAAATCGATACTACAACGTCAAGAACGTGGTGGTGGAGAGAAACATCTGCGGTCAAAAGCAGCTCTTGGTGAGTTGGCTGGGATAACCAGCGAGCGAGAATACGAAAAAGTCTTACACTCGTATTCTTCTCAAATGTCCTGGTATCGTTTGCGCATTCAGTGCGGGTCTAAACCCGGAATTCGCTTAGGGAAGCTATTCCTTCCTCTTCTCCCTCCGTCCCTCTCGTCGTGATTTCGACTCATGTCCGAGCGTACTTCACAAGCATTTTTAATATCGGGATGAACCCGATTCTGTGCTTTAAAATTGCGCAGATCGCGTACCTGTAACAAATCTGCAGCGGTGCTGGCGCTTTGCAAACGGTGGAAAACTACGTATTTGGTCTCGTGAATCCAGGCCCAGAATCTAGTGTCGATTGTCTCAATGAAATCTAGATTGGATTGCGGGACGTTCGGTACACACTTAAGGCTTTGCGGCTCATCTCCAGCACGAGTGATTGGCCCGATGGCGCAAAAATACGCGAATCCAGTCATTAGTCGAGAACTTATTCGACTAAAGAGTTCGTCAAACACTTGAGTGGAACCACCACGTCGGCCGTGATAGTCATCAGGGAGATCAAGTCCACGCTAGTGCAAATGCGCTGGATGCCCTGGAATTGGAATAATATCCAAGTTCGATGGTGGCGAAGATAACGTGTGGAACAAGTGTATGTGCTGTCACTATAGAGAGAGTTGGACAGAACGTGACGAAGACCGTGAAGAAGAATTTAGAAACGAATTCCTCAGTAAGCGTACTTACACGGACGAACAATTCCCGTTACATGATATAAAATTTCTTGGAGGCAGTTATTGGTTCGGCGAGTTTGGCATTTTTGCCGACCGCTTCATCGTCGATGTGTCGAGTGCTGACAGTGATTTTGACGCCGGCATCAAGCTGAAACGCCTATTTAAGCTTGGAGCACAGCGGATATACGGTACGTTCCGGATGTTAATTTGGAAAAAGTGATTACAACAGCCATGTGGCGTGTGTGCTTCTGTTCTAGTCGGTGCCCTCCTTAGCTTATTGTACGAGGCTCTGTGTGTGACCAGCTTCTTTTTGCTTGCCGCATCTTCTCGGTCCATTCATAAGCTTGACTTAGCTGGAGCCGTTGCCCAGTCTTCCACTACCGCCCGCGTCAGGCCAAACCTGAATCCGACACGGCCATCATACGCTGTGGTGGTAAGTCGAGGCACCCATGAATACTCGCTCTAGCGATCGCTATGCGAAAGCTTTATCATGGCAACCGCTATTGTCTCTCCGCAGCCTCAAATGACGATCCAGCGCCTAGCAAGATCTCTCTTGGCACTGCAGGCTCCCGAGTCGTGTCACCCCCCTGGCAGTCAGACTTTTCTCGGCTACTGTTACCACCACCAGCAGCGACACTACTTTCCTAACCCGCATTGCTGCCAACTACTGGTGGTAAGCCTAAAGGAAAGTGATCGCGTACTGATGGGAACTCTGAAAAAATGCTGGTGAAATCTCGACCTAAACCTCTTGCCAGAGTTACAACAAGTAAATGCTGCGACATCCTTAGCACTGTCGAAGTCGAGCTCGGCTGTTTTCCAGCGACGCTCGATGAAGTTACGACCCGCACTTTTATATTGTGTCGCGAATGGTTCAGAATCCGCGTTACATAAAATCTAGCAAGGAAGCCAGTCAATTCCTTACTAAGCATATCACCAAAGTGGTAAAAACTCATACACCCATGCCAATTCAAAAGATAGTCAGCGAGATGGAGGCTACTGGAGAGACGGCAAACCTCCTATTGTTACCGGATCGCTCGGATATTGCCGATGCCATGGTAGATGATCTTCACAAAGCACTCCAGACGACAAACAACCCTGACACGCTGATATTGATGAGCTCCGTCAAGGCACCTATTGCATCAAACACCGCGCTTCCAGGGCAGATGTGCGAGTTGAGCCCCAACATTACCGAGTTCGCTCAACTCCACATGATCAATCTCATTTTTAGCGCGACCGATCAAACCGTCACCAACACATTTGCCCGCAAATGGGCCAAGTATGTCGGCACAAAGGTTCCCAAGACACGTGATGATGTATTTCGAAGTGTAGCCTCATGGTGGAACAATTAAAATACAGCTATCATTACGCGTGCGACTAGAGCTCTATCGCTCTTCGAGCTGATGTTGATGTGTACGGCGCCCATGATCTTTGAAAAGAATTATTGGCTTCAGC